TAATAGGCTAGCAGAAGTATTTTATCAATTCTTCCTAAGTAACATATTCGGCATCCACTTTCCACTTAGATTCCTGCTTTATTACCAGGATACCTAAAGGAAAAAATCTTAAGAGCAAAGTAATACAAAATGGTTAAATGTTACCATGGCCAACAACTTTATCAAGTTGGATGAAATTAAAGTGTTATTTGTATCCTAAGCAGGGACAGAGGAAGAGAAGCTAAAAATGTAGCAAACTCCTGTACTTAGTCCAGATCTCAATTGCTTTTTGAGAAAAAAATGTACATCAAGGGTTAAGACAGCTTAGATGCAAGCTTCTATTGTCTCAAAACCAGAGAACCAGTTGGTGACAAGAGGCAGATGCTGATGAGGGACCATGTGAGACTGGAACAGTGAAAGAAGCTTTCTTATTGTGTGGGATCTCTGCCTCAATCATCAGTACAAGGAGCAAATGCTACTAAAATGAAGACTTGTATCAAGAGCCCAAACACAGCTAAGAATTGGTGCATGACATGCACACCCTTACACCAGGAACAGCCAACTTGTTGAAGACTTAGCCAAGACTGCAGCACCTATGAGTGGAATTCCTAGAAGGCATGGAGCCACTGACCCACCACCCTGGAATCGAGATGTTATAACCAGAAGAGCACATTGAAGGTAATTTCAAAACAGGAACTTTGGACCAGTCCTTGAGGGCCTGCATGGAAGAAGCTTCTTTATAAGGCATGTGTGCAACCTTTCTGGAGTAGACCAATGTACACTTTATAGTCAAGTACTAAGGATGTGTGTAACAGCCAAGGAAATTGATGCTTTATGATCATTCTAGTCATTTATTGTTTATAGCTATGGATATTCCCTCCTTCCCCCTAACCCCATATTTAGTAAGTGCTTTATAAGAAAATTCATCTTGTTTTAAAATCACATTTCAATTTTGTTGGATGACCACTAATTCTATTATGATACAAAATAATATTTCCCCTCTTCATATTTATCAAACTATTCTCAACTATTATCAATCACAATATACCTGTTCCTAGTGCATATGTTATACAGAAGATATTGTATTTCTATTGTATATGTATTCCTTTTGATATTGACTGTTTTTATTCACACAGTCATAAAGCCTGTTATATCACTAGATTCATCAAATTTACAAAACTACAAAATAAGGATGAGCCATTTATTTCAACAGAAGCAATTCTGATATTTTTGCACTATGCCTTTCAAAATCTGTTTTTGTCTTTTTCAAATGATATTAAGATGTACTCATGGGATACATAATAGCTGCATCCTTTTTCCTGCAATTGACAGAACTTTGTACCTAGATAGCACATTGCATGATTCCTTGCTTGCTCTTTCAGGGTGACGTTTCACAAGTGTGTTAATACACAAAAAATTAATCATGTCTTTCCCATTTTATTGGGACAATTGTGAGGCCTTGGTACTATGATCCTGTTTTAATCTGCTGCTTTGATTCCGTGATACTCAGGAGTAATTTTACACTGTTTTAATGTGCAGTGTGAAATGTTTTAGGAATCACAATGGTTAAAAATCAGTAAACAAATTTTGGAATTAAATTCAAGCAATTTTTATAATCTGTAAATGCTACTCTTTCACCCTACATGCTTCCTAGAAAGTGATGGAATATAGAAAAGACTATTGTTATTTCACAAAAATGTGCGCCTTTCTCCTCTGTTCTAAGAATCCTTCTTCCCAGCCATAGTCAGCATATATTCCTCCCATCCTTCAAGCAGCAGAAAAGTATACCAGGATAATTTGTGCTGTCTTCCTCAGCTGAGCATGAAGCCAGGGAACAGCGCTGCTTTCTTCACAGAGTTAATGCAGGACAGTGGATGGTCCAGCTTCCTTTCTCCTCCCACCCAGCATCACCTACCAACATGAAAAGCCATCAGCTGAACAGGAGACTGATACAAAAATTACAATAATGCTAACCTATCAGTCTTCCAGAAGATCGATATTCCCACTTCAAAACAAATGAACAAAAAAGACTGTGCCAGGTATCTGGACTCTCACACAGCCCCAGCCATAGCCCAGGCAGAGAGATGCTACATCCACAGCAGACTTAGACAATCAATTCCCTGCCCTGTCCATGTTATTGCCAGCTTCATCATCAAGGCATTTTAGACTGTATGGCAAGATGTGTTGGAAAAAACTGGAAAATACTGCTTTAACAGTGGAACAACTGTAGACATCTTCAGGGTGCCTCTGCAGTGAACTGGGGAAAAGACAGAGGTGATGTCATGAGAAGGTGTCCCTTAAAAGTGATTAGAGAAGCATCTTTGTACAGTAATTAGGGGGACATGAGGATGAGCTGTAGGACCAGGATATTTCTTAATTTTAATTATTTTGTGAAATATGTCTTTGTAATGAACATGTTAACACTCAATATTTTTAATAAATTCAAAGCTAACTAAATATTTTTAATAAATGCAAAGCTAATCCCAAAATGACAAAAACATAACTTCAATACAGAACCTATTTTTGCCTTTCCTCACTGGAGAACTGTTTTATTTTTTTTTTTCTTTCAACATCTATCATCCTGATGTCATGAGAAATGCTGACACCAATTATAATTAATCTTTGCTTCCCATCAAGACAGAAGTTAGTACAAACAGCCAAGTTAAGCATCCTGAGACTATCAAATCCATCTTTTCTTAAAGAAGAGATTTAAGTATTATGAAGATGATTGTCTCCAAATTGGTGGGGGTGGGGGTGTTAGTAAAATAGTTTAAAAAACTGTGAGTAGAAATATGAGCAGCATTTCTTGCATGCTTACATTTTGCTATAAATTATTCAAACTGTGTAAATGAGAAAATGCATCCAAATGTTTCATAAGGGCAACTGAAGTTTCAGTTAAAATTTACTCATGAAGGCAGAATCTTGCTTTTCTTGGCACATACATTGTGCCACAAGGAAGGCTTTTGACTTACCTTTTGAAGGCAAGGCATGGAAGAGTATAGCCTGGCCCACAAAATGCTGGTTTGACTTGCATGGACCCTGGTTGACCCCATGAGGAGTGGTCTTCATCACACTTTCTTTTCACCTTTTGGAGAGAAAGCTCTCTTTTCATATTTTGTCATTGTTTCCTTTTCAGAGAGCTGGCTGGATCTGGGTGTGCTCAGAATCCGGGTGTGCTCAGAAGAGAGCTGCAAGACGCTGAAGCAGGTTTTGGTCTCAGCCTCAGATAGAAGAGTCTTCCGTTGCTGCTGTTTCCTCTCCAACCGTTTCCATCCAAGCAAGACAAACTGTGATTTGGGTAGGAACCAAAAAATAACGCACTGCCTCTATCCCCAGGAAAATGTCTCAAGTACCCACCCTCCTCCTTGCTGTCACGCATCAGGCCAGCTGAAAGCAGCAGCTCCAGGGCTCATCCTTTCTGTGTGTGAGCCAGTTCAGCATCCCCCATGCCAGAACTGCAGCACCTGAATGAACCCAGGCTCCCGGCTAATGCCAGCCAGATCCAGAGAAACATCCTGGAAGAGCATGTGGAGCTATGGTGGTTCCAGGAGCCCAGGAAGTCCTTCATCTGCTATGGAATAGCGGTGGCCTTGATTCTAGCCTGTGGGGTGGGTGGCATTGCCCTGCTCTACAGTACTAGCAGTCGCTCTGGAGAGTGGAGGCTGGCAGTGGGCACAACGCTCTGTCTGCTGGCACTCTTGGTACTACTGAAGCAACTGTTGAGCTCTGCCATCCAGGACATGAACTGCATTCGCAGACGAGAACAGGTGGAGTTGCTGAAGAGCGGTGGGGCATCTGACTGCGTTGTGCTTCTGCTGACGGCCTTGGTGCTGCTGGTGTGTGGCACAGTGCTCACAGCCCTCTCCACCACCAGTGTCAGCACCAGTCCCCCAACCCCACGCCCCCTTGCCAGCATGTTTATCAGTGGCATTGTGCTCACAGCTGCGGGAGCAATTATCCTGCTCAGTCTGTTGCTGTATTTGACATGGACTTCCTGCCGTCCGGCTATCCGTCAGAACCAGGGGGCTGAAAACAACAGTGCCATCTTCACCGTATCAGGACACGTTTCTGCCAGTCAGCAATTTCCTCCTACCTCCAGCATGGCAAACCTAATTTAACCCTCAAGGACATGGTGGTGACTGCCGCTGACTCTGAGATTACTCTGACTTTGGGTTGGCATTTCCCTACATGCCATCTGACCCAAACTCAGCACCTTAATGAACTTTTCACTGCTTGGTCAGACATCAGAACCTCTCTGAAGTTTGCTTTGGGGCACATGGAGAATCAAAAGAAGTGTAACGGGAGGAAAACAAGTGGCTATCATTCCAAAGTGGGACTGTGCTTATCCTAAATAACTAAGGCACCTTGAATACATGGAGAAGCATCTCTCTCAGCAGTTCCACTGAAAATCCATTTCAGACTAACGTTGGTTTATGAGGCATTACCACCTATTTCTTTTTTGCATTCAAAAGGACTAGAAGCTTGCTTTTACAAAAATGAAAGCAGCAGCTCTGTAGAAACTGAATCAGTTTTAAGCTTATGTGGTGTGATAGTTCTATTTAGAACAACCAAAGTATGAAGACTAAATAACTAAGCTACATAGAGCATATTTCCAACAAAGCGTATCTTCCTAGCCAGAACACTGAGGACCATGGCAAAACACACCCTACAATACAGCCAGCAGGGCTACCGGATCTGGGCTGCAAAAATCCAGGTGATCACAAGATGGCAGCAACAAGTTATATTTGTCTGTTTCTCTTTGCTGTCTTCTAGCAATCATCCAAATTTTTGTAGCCCAGGCATGGCAACTCTAACTGCCACTTGCCAATGGTGCTTGATAGAAAATAGATGATAGGAATAATATTTTCCAGTCTTAAGACTTCGGGATACTGGAGTTTGGAAACAAGATAAAACCACCCAGAGTTGTTGGGAGTCAGGTGGCACATACATTTAATAAATTATTATAATTATAAAAGAAAGTTTACAGCAGGACCAAACTGTATGTGTGAATCCAGGGAAGCATCAATTCATGTATTATACTAATAACAAAATTGGTATAGGTGTGCCTATTTCCTGATGTATGAAGAAATAATACTCATTTTGTTTACTTTTATAATGGAAATCACTAAGTCTGATTATTTCAAGAAACATCTTGCCCCAGACCAAGAGCAAGATGACTGTACAGCATCTACAGATTAGTAGCTTTACAATATCTGTCACTTCCTGCAATGCCAACTTTCCCAACAGCTGTAAAGTAGCAGACAAAATCAGTAAAATTACTTAAATTGTATCAACTAGATTTTTAAAGTTTCTCTCAGTCTATTTAAGCTGACTTGGTTCATATCAAGTGAGGACCTTAGTCTTGCTTTATGGAAGTCTGGAATCAGCTGTTTCTAACTTGGATTTCATCTGCGGTAGAGCCAAAACTGACAAAAAATTTTAAAAAGTCTTTCTGAAAGGTTTATAGTAAGCAAAGAGGCCTAGAAGTATCTCCTCCAGTCATACAACAAAACGGTAAGATAAGGCTATACCAATTTTGAGTCATACAGTATACGTACATGTTGAGAAATCTGTATTTCTATAAAAAGACATTCCAAATTCTGCATTCAGACAGAATAACGCATATTAGGAATGTGCAATGCTTTGTGTTCAGTTCCAAAAGAAGGCTTTGGAGCACGTGGAGGTACAAATGTCGGCAACTTTTAAAACACTCTATCTTTTCCGAAGATTACATGGCAACTATGCAATCCCTGGAAAAGAAGAAGCTGCTTTAAATTGTTGTGGACGGGTGCTATATTTGCACATTTTCTGATTACTTAGAAAAGCTACATAGCCCTACTGCATATTAAATACAAATTCACACACTTTTTTGTTCAAGATGCAACTTCTGTCAAGCTTTAGACAGCAAATGTGGAAAAGGAGATGAGTGAAATGATAATGTTGTTTAAGAAAGGTGGGGGTGCCTGCAGTGATAGGGGGTCCTTTTATCTCAAGTGAAGTACAATACAGCTCCATTTATATCATTTTTAAATGATTTTAACACCATCCACCATACTGGATCTAGAAGAAACAGGGTGGTGCTTTGTTCAGCTTCTAAACCATTTTGAAATGTCATTTGATTCATACATGTACCTTAAAAATCAAGATTAAATAAGATATTGTAACATCTTGTAGCTTCACCATATACCTATGGATAGTTTACATCCAGTTACTCACTATCTACTACAACTTAGTTCTCACAAACAAGCTTATCTACTCTTCTTCAGATGTTGTCATAGCAGTTTTCACTAGAATACAAACAAAAAACATGTGGAGAAATCTGCCACTATTCTCCATATCTCTGTGATCTCTATTTTACCAAGCACTATTCTACAACTATAACCCAGGTTCCATTCACACGTCCTCAAAGAAACCAGACTGCGGTTGTGAATTATTAAACTGTCAGGCAACCATTCCCATTTCAAGAGTCCACTGGAGTTGGGTGGCCAATAAATTTAAATAAATAAATAAAGGTTTTTTTTTCACATTTATGGCATCAGACTTACCCTCCTCACTTTGCATCTTACAAAAGCATATGAAAAACCAGAGAAGATGCTCTTTTTTTTCTTGCTATAAACATTAAATAGTTTGAGAAATTCATCAATACTTGAGACATTCATCAAACTATACTGAAAATCTTTGCACATTTGCTTGGGAGTTAGCTCCAATGAATTTAGTGGGAAGAATATCTGATTAAAAGCACTCTGGACACACGCTATGTCAAAAGTCAACTATATTCCCATCTTATCTTCCCAGCAGAGTGGCTCTAAGCAAGGCCTTCTATGTCTGCTAGATACCATTTGGGACTTATAGGATTTAAATGTAAATCCTTTGCTACAATGTCCAGTTTCTGTAAATTCATAATTCGAATATCAGTTGATATGGCAAGCCTAATTCTAGAATAAAGAGATGTATATAATTGGGGGAGGGGAGGGGTTAGATAGCAGCATATCCACATTCCTTATCCAGTAGTTTCAACTTACGACATCATATGAATACAGTTTCCCTCCTCCTCTTGGTGGAAAACTAGCAGACATCCTAAAAGGTCTAATTTCTTTCCAGCCTCAGACCCAAGGAATTTGGGATGCACGTGTTATGGAGGAGCTACAGCTAAGTTAGTCATAGTAGCCATAAGCTAGACCTGCAAAAGTCTGCAAGTTCAGTTACAGGAATCCCTGGTTAAAATGATCACAGGCAGCAAGCGCTAAGAAATATCTCCGCTGAGTCATACCTGGTGGAAGGTAATTTAGAGCTCAGGATGCAACTGGTCTGAAATTAGTAAACAGGACTGCACAAAGCAACTGAAAGGGACACTTGGCAAAGCATGTTAGTGCAAGCAAAGCGTCTCTCCCTTAAGTATTAAAGTGGCTGCATCCTCTAGAAGGCTCGCACAGTCCTCGCCAATGGCCTGGGCAAAGAGCCACGTTGTCAGGACTCTTCGAAACACCAGCAGGCCATTCAAATTTCTGGAGGAATCTCATTCCAGAGAGTTTGGCTCTCAAACCCACCCAGGTTTTTGGGGGTCCCTCAGACCCACTCAGATGGTGATTGTCGTGTTTGCACAAATGTGAAGGTCTGTGGGATCAGGTCAGCTTTGATTGTCTGCAAATGCAAGTACATACACAAACAACACTATGCAACATACATGAATCCATGAGTGGAAGTATTATATGCAACGATCTACCCCGGTCTTCCCCAGCCATGTGCCTTCCAGGTAAGTGGCTATGCTGGAAGGAACCACCTGGGAAAAGATGCTGATGGTTCCAGACCCACTTTTTCTCCCTCAATTCTAGGGTGGTCATCCAGATTTTTGCAGTCTAATTTGTTCTGTATTTGCCTGGCTACCAGAAGTTTTTGCGAGCAGCCGGGCCACGAACTCACAAAACCACCCCGCCCACATACTTCTCAGTCACTTCTTGACAACATCCCCTCCTTCCGTGTCTTCAAACTTCCGCGCGGTGACGTCATCCGCGACAAGTTTTCTACTTCCTTGTTAGGGCTCTTAGACTTAAAAAGACATGAGTCGTTCGCGCCTCGAGTGGGCTTGGAATTGCTGCATCACGGAGCCTTGAGGTGTCAGCCGGCTTTTGGCTTTGGGAAAATGTAGTCTTCTTGTTCTGATTAATAACTATTTTTTTTTAATGTTACAGAATACTGAAATGATAAGACAAAGAACTTTTGCAGAATATAATTTGGCTGGATTTGCAAAATACTTTAGCTTTTTGAATTATTAATTTACTGAGTTCACAGCATATCATGCCTACTAACTTTTTTGGCACCTGTACCTACCAAACTGTTTCTCAACCTCTAAGGGAGCATTTTTCACACCTGGCAACTTTAAGATGTGTGGACTTCAACTCCCAGAATTCCCAGACTGGTATGTT